GTGGTGTTGGTGTGTGTGTGTGTGGTGTGTGTGGTGTGTGTGTCTGGTGTGTCTGGTTGTGTGTGTGTGTGGTGTGTGTGTGGGGTGTGTGGTGTGTGTGTGTGTGGTGTGTATGTGTGGTGTGTGGTGTGTGTGTGTGTGGTGTCTGTGGTGTGTGTGGTGTGTGTGTGGGGTGTGTGGTGTGTGTGTGTGTGGTGTGTATGTGTGGTGTGTGGTGTGTGTGTGTGTGGTGTCTGTGGTGTGTGTGGTGTGTGTGTGTGTGTGGTGTGTGTGGGGTGTGTGTGTGTGTGTGTGTGTGTGTCTGTGAGAAAACACGTTTCTGGGCACAAGGTCTTGTGAAGGATGGAGCCACGATTAGAACAGACACCACTGTGCTCAACCACCAGAGCGGCTCCTACAAGTCAGTCCCAGGGGCTGAGGGAGGTGGGTTTCTGTCCGGTCACCACTGTGTCCCTGTCTTGCCCTCACAACTCCTGCTTCGTGGCAGGTCTCAGGCAGAGCTTAAGCTCCGCCGAAGGCCCGGTTTCTTTACCCCATGTGACATGGCAGGTAGTCCTTGCAGGGCACCAGTTCTGGCCTCACCAGCAAAAGCCTTGAAATCCGACTTGCTGTAGTCATATGGGGTGAAATCTTTTTCTGGTGGATCTGGGTCTTTTAGCTTCTTGGAAATTTTGAGTCGTTTCTTGTCTTGTTTCTGTTCTGTCGTCCCCGGGTCACTTGTTCGTTCCCTCTTCTTGGCAGTGTTCTCTAGCTGTGGATTGAACAGACCCGTAAGAGAGCAGCATGCCCCGCGTGCCCCGCAGGGAGCACATCGCGAGGGACCCACCGCCTCCTGGGCTGTGACAACTGATTCGGTGATGGGGAGAGGTGTGCCTGCGGGCAGTCTGGGCGGGGCTGCCGCCAGGTGGAGGGAGACAAGCTCCCAGAGGGAGAATGACATCGGGCCACTGCGAAAGGCCGGGGCGGAGCATTCCAGAGTGTTTGGGTGCCCGGGAGTGAAACAGCTCCCAGGAGGAGTGGGACACAGCACGGGCTTGAAGCCCTGTCTGCTTCTACAGGTGAGGGGCATGTTCATCCCAAATGCGGAGGGAGGAACATCGAAGAGGGATGACAACGTCAACTTTCTCAAGGGGCGTATGAGGCAGCACAACTTGACAAGCCAGCATGAACTGGGAAGAAGCAAGCATTTAATCCAAAGCTGAGGGTAAGCCCTCCTGATGTTTGAGAAAAATCCTGACCACAACCAGAAAATGCAGAAAAGCCAGCACGTACGGCAGCCTGCTGGCGGACGGACACGGCCTGCTCCACTGCTGCTCTGCACTCCTCCTTGGCCTGGTCCCGGGCAGCTGCAAGAGAGAGAACCGTCTCTGTGCAGCCTCCGCCCTCCTCTGCCCACAGCAGTCGCCCCAGCTACGCACACCCTCCCTGCCCCTCAGCCCCCTTTGCTGGTCCCACCCCACCTCCCCAAATCCCCACAGGGTGGCTGCCGTGGGGCTAGGGCCCAGATGCTCTTCCCATCACCCGCCCTCTCAGTCCACACCACACCTGCCCCTCATGCACTGGCCTACGGGACGCCTCTGAGGGTGCTGCGTCGGGATCTCAACTGTAACACGTGAAGGACCAGAACCAAAACCTCGTCTGCCTCAAACCGGCACCCTCTTCAGCCGCACAGTCGACGGCAGCCCCACCTCCTCGGGCACTCAGGACGAAGCCTCTCGAGTCCACGGACCACACTTGAGTCCTCACCCCACGCTGTCGGCTTCACTACGGGCCACACCCAGGCTCTGACTTCCCACCACCTGCTCTGTCCGCAGCTCGTCCACGCCAGCATCCCCTCGCACCTGCATTCCGGCCCTGCCTCCTGACCGGACTCCCCGCCCTGCCCTCTGCGCGGCTTCCGGGGGAGGCCTCCACAGCCTAATTCAGGGCATGTCCCTCTTCTGCTCAGAACCCTGCAAGGCTCCCAACTCACTTGGAATTCAAGTCCCGACAACGGGCTCCTGCTCTCTGCCCTGCCCTCCTTCCCACCTTCCTCATCCCCGGGGCCTCCTGGCCACGCTGAGCAGCACGGCGAGCTGTGGCCTTGGCCTCGCTGCGCCTCCGGTCCGGTACCCTCCCCCCGATCGCTGCAGGTCTCTGCTCAACGCCACGTTCACTGACTGCCGTATGGAAGTAGCCCTGCGCCCCCTCAGGCCCACCCCCCAGCACTTCCTACCTCGCTCTCTGAGCAAGTACCCGCTGCCCTGACAGCTCACACATCTACCGGCTGACTGTCCGCCATGCCTCAGCAGGGCGGAGGTTGCGGAGGGCAGGGCTGGGTCTGATTTGCTGTATCTGGCACTTCGTTGAACGATTAAATCGACAGAACGATGTGCAAGGGCTGTTCTCTAACAAATGCGCTGAGTTTCTGAGGAAGCAAATGCTACGCTACCTGTTTGCTCAGCTGCCTTCTTCTTGGCAGTTTTAGATTCTTTTTGTACCTGTACCTGGCTTGCCAGCTTCCAACGGTTGCTGATCTATAATGAAAACAAACAAAACAAAAAAACTCCAGAACTCAGCCACCTAGGAATGCTTTATTTTTTTAATGAGGTGATGCAGAGCATGCTAACCTAGTAGCTATATACATTCTAGGTTATAAGTTCCACATCTAATGACACACAAAATAAAACCTCAGGCTGGCTTTATTTATAAGCTACTTATTAAGAAGGACAAAGTACAGCTGTATCCCAGGCACTGGGCTGGATGCTCGCATATCCACCATCTCATTCAGTCCCTTCTGTGATCCCGGGACAGTGGCATTAACATCACCCCTGCTTTACGGACAGGAAACAGTCTCGGAGAAGCTAAATAACTTGTCCAAGGGGCATGGTTAATAAATGGCGGAGATGGGATTCAAGGCAGGACTCCTGAAAGTCTGATGTGCTTCTTTATGACACCACCTGTACCTGCGGCCTTAGAACGCATCTAGGTGACAGGAACCAGCAAGCACGGTGAGGGACGGATGGCTGCTGAGTGTGCCACAACCAGTGGGGGAAACCCTGCCTGACTCCCAGTCTAACAGCAGCAGGCTAACCACCAGTGACAGGGCGGAGGCCCATCAGGGTGTCGGCCTGATTCTCTTGCCTAAAGAAAGAATGGTGCTGGGAGCAGAGGGAGGCAGGCCACCTATCTGACCAGAGCACTACTTTCTGCAGGGAGGAAGAGGGCTTTTAACAGACAATTAACATGCGGGCTCCCAGGAACATCTCATGGGGACCCAGGGAAGATGTGCTCTCATTCTTACTCATAACGCTGTTAAAGACAAACCACACGATATACGACAGGGTGTTTTAAAATTTAAGCTGTCACCTTTAAGAACCTTAAAGTAATATTCATATATAAAAACGCATCAAGCTGTACATTTCATATCTGTGTACTTTACACCAAGTAAATTAAACTTCAATTTAAAAAACAAAAATCAAAGATCTGTTTCTTAAAAAGTCCCCCAATGCTTTCAAAAATCTGATTAAAGTCTGGCTGCTCTCTCTGGAAACAATGCTTATATATGAAGTGCTTCTTGCATTCACTTTCAGGGAGGTTCACAGATGGGCTTGTTTAAAACAGAAACCTGGTTTAAGAAATTAAGAAGTCCCCTTTCCTTAGAAAGTCACTCTTAGAAAGGGTGACAAATCCACTTACTTCATAGATTTTCGAAGATGGATCGAACTTTGCTGTCTGAGAAACGTGAGCTCGGGATTCTAGTGAAGGCAGAAACTGGAGAGACGGAGACACAGTCACGTTAACCGCTGAGAAATGGAATCCGGACCCAGAGGTCGGTTGCGCTGAGATGGGAGTTTTCTTGCTGGTTCCATCTTAGGAGGCCTCAGTGCAAAGCATCAGCCTGGCCGCAGCTGCCTGGCCCTCAAGTGGGGTCTTCTTCTTGGCTTTGTCTCCTGACCCCAGGTCTCATCCCACCGCCGGGGACGACTTCACAGTTTTGAGGCTTCCAGTCTCTGAACACTCTCAGCTTCTTTTCCAGGCAAAAGGCACCTACAGCTACAGAAAGCTCTGCCTCTTCTGTCAGCCCTTAACATACACAACCATTACTTACCATCCGAAATGGATTTTCAAAGGACTCCATTATGTTCTGGGCTTTTTTCTGTGCAACTGTTAATGGACCCTTTCCATTTTCTTCAGCACTAGGTTCCTGCAGGGACAGAAAATGATCACTCGTGTAATCATTCTGTGACATTAAGATACAAGCAAAAGGAATAACAGTAACAGTAATCATACTAAGAGTTGACATTCATTCATTCATTCACGCCATGCCGCATATGGGGATTTTAGTTCCCCGATGAGGGATCAAACCCATGCCCCCTGCAGTGGAAGCACGGGGCCCTTAACTACTGGACCACCAGGGAATAACTTATTTTTTTATTTAAAACTTTTTTGGGAGTTCCCTGGCAGTCCAGTGGTTAGGACTTGGCGCTTTCACTGCAGTGGCCCAGGTTCAATTCCTGGTTGGGGAACTAGAGTAAACTGCAAAAAAAACAAAAACAAAAACAAAACAAAGCAAAAAAAAATGAAAACAAAAACAAACAGAAAACAGAAATAAACCCCCCCAAAACCCAAAAAACAAACTATTTTAATTTAAAATTTTAAAATTTAAGTATAGTTGATTTACAATATTAACGACTATTTTTTTAAAGCCTCCCCTATGTATAAGGCACTGTAATAACCTGTAATAGCACACAGTAGGGTGTTTAACACATATCTATTGAATCAATGAATTCTCACCATGTCCTTACAACCTATGAGCTACGTGGCATTATTCTTACCATCTTACAGATGAGGAAAGTGAGGCTGGGAGAAGTTAAGAAAGTCTTCCAGAGCCTTGCAGCTAATAGGTGCAGAACAAGGATTTAAACCCAGGTCTGGCTGGCTCTAAAATGTGGGGTTGTAACCTGAAATTACCTGAAATTTAAAATCATACACCTTTGTAGGTAACCAATGAAATTATGCAAAAGAATGTTGCTTCCACCTGGGTTCGTCAGCATGTGCTATCCTTTGGCTTTTTCTGTAGTTAGGCTCCCTGCCACACTGGGCACGAGGGGATCCAGCATCCTTTAGACCAGGCACAGCACTTACACGTCCACACAGCCGCAAGTTCACGCTCACATCTTTAGTTGCCTCATCACTTTGTGGCTCAATGAATTCTGCGGTCACCTAAAACTCCCAGACTTCTTTTCGCACGAAGCAAGACTAAACGTCTATGACTGAGTGAGGAGGACGGCTCACGCCGGGTGGCGCATCTGCAGGCTGTACTTCTCCCTGGCTTTGGCCCAGCACCCGAGGGGGGCGGGGTAGCTGTGAACCGTGATCCCGTAACCTACTGGACCACCAGCTTCTTAACCATCTGAGTATCTGCTAAGCTTGACACTTGTCTTTTTCCATATAGACAGTATTCTTGCTTCTCTTTCTCAGTTCCTTCTTTCTAGAAATTATGGTCTTTCCTTTCTACCACATCTATTGCTTGCTGTATTCAGAATTTTATCTGTGCGTTTTCCTTTTGTCCCTGGTCATTTCACTATCTGTCCATCCTGACCAACAAATGCACCTTGGTCTTCCTTGTGCAAAGAACCTGCAGCTCAAGTCACTGGCGGAAAGGAGAAGCGTGCTGGGTGGGATAGACCGGGATAAGCTCTGTCGCATCCCAGCCCGATTCCAGGAACACGGCTGGGCTCAGGCGGGCCACGCTGGGACTCCACACTGGATGGAGTCACGACCTACCAGGACTCAGCCTCTCTCTGGGATGGGGAACAAGCTCCTACCCACTTCTAGTGCCTGGTTGCCTGCAGCTCACTTCCTCTAACGAGCCAGACTGGAGAAATGCTTTTTAAATCTTCTCTTTTTCATCCAAAGCACATATAGGTGGTGCTGGCGGCTGTCAGGAAGGTATACACGGCACACACGCTTCATCGGAGAGATCACTCCATCCCTTCTGGGAATCAGGGTGAACTGTCCCTTGACCGTGGATGTTCGGGCAAAGTCCCTGCTTATGCGTCCCTGGAGCCCACACCCGCTTCCCTGGGGGGCCATTGGTGAGTATCAAGATGTCAACCCTCCCTTGAGGATGTCCTCATGCAGAGCGCACATGGGATCCTCTGCCACCTCTCACAGACCTCCTCGTCAGGGCAGCAAACACCATCTGGCTGATGGCCTCCATGCCCACTACCACCACTGCTGGCTTCTACTTCTGGTGTTCAGCTCAGCGGTGGCCACGACACTCCAGGCAGACAGCCTGTGTGATAAACCCAGTACATCCCCCCGGTCTGTCTCCCCTCCCCGAAGATGTTACTCACGTTAAATAACGTGATGACAGCGGTAGCGATAAGGCATCCGGTGTCCGGCAGGGCCTCCTCTGCTTCTCGGGCAGTGGGGAGGCCCTCCTGCTTCTGCACTGGCACAGGCCCTACAGGGAGGGAAGTCAGCACGGTCGAAGCCTGTGGGATGGCACACCAGGCAGCCCCAGCTGTCCAGGATATTCCAGAGGGCTTTTCGTTACCATTGGTTGCAATAAGAGGACAGCCGTCTGATGGGGCGTGGGAGCAGTCGTGGGGGCCGAAGAGAGCATTCTCCAATCTCTGCAACAAAAAGAAAGCACCAGGCTGGCACCAACAACCCGCAAGCAGGGGGCAGCCTTCTGCCCGAGGTGTCAGGCCCTGGTGTCTATCAGGGAGGTTGGGTCCGCGCTGGCTTTGACTCATGTCTCCCCCAGAGAAGCAACAACAAACACATGCCGGTACCTCAGGGTTGGGCGGTGGCCCGTCCTTCCTCACTCCAGCTGCAACTTCAGACTGAAAAGTAAAAACAAAGAGAATTTGAGAAAAGTTCCCTAAATTTGATGATACACACATTTTTTCCCCCTCAGCGCAGACGGGTCCGTTCACTAGACGGTGTTTTTCTCAAGAGCCCAGAGATTTTCTCTCATCCCTTCATCCCTTCCAGTGCCTGGCACTATAATTACTTAGTGCTCAATAATTATTTGTTGGATGAAAGAATAAAACCTTTTATCGTAACAAGGCACAATGTGGAAGGATTCCAAAGAGCTTTGATAAAGATTCTCCTCTTGTCACCAGCGTTTTTCTCTTTACTTGGAAAAAGTATAGAGTCAAGAAAGAAATTTTAACATGCAGACAGTAAATGTGTTTATCCTCAGATTCTCTTCTTTTTCACCTTTTCAAAGGGGCTGATTTTAAGTCTTCTGGAATCAATAATCTTTCAAAAAATTATAAACATGATTTACCACATACTGACACTACTGAGACAAAACATGAAAAAGTGTCCCAATAAAACACAAATCAAAACATGCAGGGCTTCCCTGGTGGCGCAGTGGTTGAGAGTCTGCCTGCCGATGCAGGGGACACGGGTTCGTGCCCCGGTCCGGGAAGATCCCACATGCTGTGGAGCGGCTGGGCCCGTGAGCCATGGCCGCTGAGCCTGCGCGTCCGGAGCCTGTGCTCCGCAACGGGAGAGGCCACAGCAGTGAATTCAAATTTACCTGACATCTTGCATTATCTACACAAGAGCAGAGGCGTGCTGGTATGTGCATGCCCATGCGTCGCACAGACAGACATAGATGTATGGATCTGGATTATGGGCTGGGGACCCTGCTTTCATCTAAATTTTCCTAAACTTTAGCATCTCCTTCACAGTTAGCTCTTTCTGAATTCCCCTCTTCTATCCAAGGTTCTCATGTTTCCCATCACCTCGGCTTTATATGTGGAGTGAACTGTCCCTGACTCCACCTCCGTTATTTTCAAATCCACTTGCCAGTCGGGGAATACCTCTAAAGCACTTAGCATGGTGCTCCAAAAGAAATGGCAGGGAAGGGCTTCCCTGGTGGCACAGTGGTTGAGAGTCCGCCTGCCGATGCAGGGGACACGGGTTCGTGCCCCGGTCCGGGAAGATCCCACATGCCGCAGAGCGGCTAGGCCCGTGAGCCACGGCCACTGAGCCTGCGTGTCCAGAGCCTGTGCTCCGCAACGGGAGAGGCCACAACAGTGAGAGGCCCGCGTACCCCCAAAAAAAAAAAAAAAAAGAAATGGCAGGGAATTCCCTGGTGGTCCAGTGGTTAGGACTCAGCGCTCTTACTGCTGAGGGCCCAGGTTTGATCCCCGGTCTGGGAGCTAAGACCCCACAAGCCACACGGTACAGCCAAAAAAATGAAAAAGAGAGATGGCAGCTGTTGTCTCCATCTGTTATTAAGTCCCATCGATCTTTTCTTCTGAAGATACTTCTTGTACCTATCCTTTGCTTTCCATTTCTGTGACCAACACACTCATCAGGGCACTACCACTTCACGCTGGACCACTGCCCGTTTTCCAAAACAAGCTCCCTGTGCTGAGATCCTCACTCCATTTTATCCCCGCTGGGTTAACTGCCTCTGAACAACAGCTAACCGGCCCATTAGACATCATTAGACACCACTGACCCGTTGGATGATCTAAGATAAGGTCATAAAAAAAGGATGAGTTTTAGCTTTTGATTATCATAAAGATACACCCACTGGATTTCCTAAATCCTATTATGTCTTCAGGATTTTTTTTAGAACGGAGACCAGCTCACGTCCATAGGACACCATAAGGAGTAAGACACTGGCAGACAGGGTTGAGAACCTGCTGAGTTGGGAACATTTAGCAGAAAAGCTTTCTTACCTTGAGCAGGGGCATCTCTCGCGCCTGCTGAATTAAAAGATGCATTTCATTGATCTGCTGCCGTACAAGAGGTGGCACAGGGTTACAGCAGGCTATGATGCCCTGAGGTTCCCTGAAGGCAAGCGAGAACACACTCAACTCATCGCCTAGGAACACAACCCTCAAAGGCTCCAGGAAAGAACAATAACCAGATAAAGCCAGAGCACGGAAAGCTCAGGTGGACACCAAGGAAACACCGTCATGTCAGGGCAGCCCAGCCAGCTGCTCCTAGACGTGCTCCCTGCTGCCTGAGCCTTGAGCAGAAAGCCTCTTACAGCTGCCTCCTGCTAACCGGGAGAGCTGGAAAGAAGGGCCACAGCTCTGCTGTACTGCGATTCTGCGAGGAGGTGATAGAAGGTTATGAACTTTGATTCTCTGCTTATACTTCAATTAACATCATAAAACGTCTAAAATCATAAGATAGCTTAATTTGGAAGAAGGTACAGACATTTTCCTTCCTTGTAAGTGGATGCTATAGGCTCAGAGACTTACATGGGACTCAGTATAAGGCTTATCCACTGAAACAGTTCCAGTTCAGAAGTTTTACTGCCTAAATGGCAGCCCAAGGGCAGAGACTCTGCATTCCTTGGTGCTAACTTCCTTGAGCCCTAATCTCTGAGTAAACAGCCTTGAGGCAACAACAATCAGGGAAGCTGGATTGTGAAGGACAACTCTTCTCTACTGAGAAAGTCCTCGAGCATATTAGTCAGGTCTCACTCACTTGGGCAGCTCCTCAGCTATCTTTAGCATCATATGGTTTGGCAGGACATATCTGGAATAAAACACACAACAGGATGACACTAAATTCAGCCAACAAGTTCCACTATATGCTATAACCCTGGGAAAACAACCAACTTTCATGGCAAAAAGGAAAAAAAGTCCATTATTTCCTTGTTACCAGACCTGGCAAGATTAAAAGCATCTCTAGTCTCTTACCCATAACTTTCATCTTCCCTGCGAGCTGTTTTATCCCTCCAGGCAAACAGCAGCTGAAAGGCCGTTAGTTGCTGTGTGTTGAGGTGTTTCTTTTGCTTTCTATACAGTTCCAGGTAAGATTCATCCGTGAAGATAGGTTTGATGAATTTCTGCAAAATGTTATCGAATATTCAACATCAGTGGGAATCAGTATTGTGCCCTGGGCTCTTCAAGACACTGGGCTCTTTTCATGAATGCAAAGAGCAAAGCAAAGAACAAGTGGGACCTAAGCGGAACCCGGGTGTCGGGCTTTACCTTGAGGCAGATGTCACGGCTCCGCTGCCACTCCACCTGCAGCTGCGTGGGCTGCTCGTTGCCACGCTCCCACAGCTCCAGCCTCATCTTATCATAGATGTAAAGCAGGTAATGAGTGTCGTCTCGGGCATAGTTGAGCATTTCCTCAGGCAGAGGTCTAGAGTTGCAACAGAGAACATTGTTTCACACCTTTCCCCCTGGGCGGCAATTCAACTTGTCTACCGCTGCTGGAGCTAAGACATTTTTGGTTCCTTCTGATATCAAAGATTCTCTCCCGGCCAATACTACAGTTCTACCAGCATCTCCTGCATCTTCATATGACAAGCCACTCTTTTCACAGCTGGGTAGAAAGGGCGGCAGGGCAATGATGTGGTTAAAAATAAGGGCCCTGCCGTCCTGAGTTTGAATCTTAGCCCAGTGTATGGCACGTGGCATGGGTTAAATAACAGGTAATGGTTTTTAGATTTTATCATTTTCATCTTACACTTGGACTTCACTAGATTCTCTTTAGAAATTCTGGCATGAGAAGTGGAGAAAAGCTTGGTGCTTCTCCATACAACAGTTGCAACCTCAGAGAGGAAGCCGGCCATCTGAAAATGACCAAGGTGAGCAAGAATCCCACAAAGTATGGCCAAGACTCTGTTACAGCCTTTGACTATAGTAAACACTGACTATAACGCTAAGTCAACGCTGTAGCTTAGAATGCTCTCACACCTATGGGAGACCATCTCACACATACACAAGCATCCCTACCCGGGAGATGTGAGTTACAAACAAGAGACTGGCGTGGACAAATGGTGACATGGTGTGGCTCTTTCAACTACTATTTCCATGAAGCATAACGCACTATTTGTTTATCTAAGATAGTAATTCCCAGCTTTTTCAAATAGGAAGCATCTTCTTAACCAATCCATTTAAAAAATTTTGAATTCTTCACATTACATAACTAAACTGAAATTTACTAACATTCCCCTCTACGTAACATAATCAGCCCAACATAAACTTCATTGTTATTCTAAAACTTCCAATTGTCCTTATGCCACCGAAAACAACTGGAGAAAAGCCCAACGACATTCAACTGAAGATTCAAATGGTGTTACAGCCTGCACAAAGGTCTCCAGGAGTGGGAGTTAATGAACGCCCAGGCCTTCTTCTGCCACCCCCATTTCCTGGTCAAGAACAAACTAACCTTATTCTCCAATCGGCCAGCTGATACTGCTTGTTTGATTCCACGTTGCAGTAGAGCTTCAGCAGATGGTCGAGGGAGTGCCTGCCCAGGTTAAGAAGGCGTGCTGCCTGATGGGTATCAAACATGTTCACCACGTACAACCCAAAGTCCTTCTGTAGCCATTCTATGTCTGAATCAGCACCGTGGAAGACCTGAAAACAAAACTGCAGTCAGGCAGTACAGTGGCACAAGGCCACTTATACGCTGAAATGAACTCTGCCCCTAGGTTATTAGAACACTGGAATTAGAAGCCAGGATAAAGATTAAGATGGGTTCAGTTTTAAACGCCTCTTTTAATTTGGGCCACAGCCTTCTACTCTCCTAACTGCATACTTGTAACTGCTAACAGCTGATGATTCTAAGAAAGCTGCTCTGCTAGCTTCAAGGGTAGTCATTAAGTCCAAACAATCTTGAGAGCGTGGGCTCACTGCAGTACTCATCAAAGTGATTTAACATTTTTCTGGGTGGTAACGAGCTAAGCCTTAGCTCTTCTAACAGGGGTTTAGAAACAAAAGCAGTTTAGCATGTGGTACCCTAGCGTGAAGTTACCGTTATTTCTCTCAACTTTATTGGGTCTACGTTGAAATGATGAAAACAGTAAACTGAAAAGCACCTAAATCTTGCACTCACGTGCAAGAGTGGGAAACGGCTGGCTGACCTTAACAATAGCTGGGTCTGTGAGGCTCTCATTGAGAATGTACATGTCACTGCGAAGCTCCAGGGTGTCAACGATGAAGTCTTCTGTCCGGGTGGAAATCTGCATCAGGCAGGTGAGCCCTAGGAAGCTCCGGTAAGAGTGGTGCTAAAACACACAGAAAGAAGGGAGAACAGGAGAAAAAAGATTTTACCAGTCTTACCTTTACCGATTTTGAAGTCAGTTATAAAGCAGAGTAATATAATTAATTTTTACCAAAAAGCAGATTTAAATTAGTATTAATTTTATATTTCTTGAGTAGGTGAACTCACAGGAAATGTAAAAATTTCATTCCAGGCCATTAACAAGTTACCTCCAAGTCTACAGCAAATTCTTGACACTTCAGGAGCTTTTCACTGAGTTCCACTAGTTCATCCAGCGAGGACACAAAGTGGCAGGGTGTCTCTCCTACAGGTCTGTATAACTGCATCACAGAAGTACGGGCAGAAAGAGAAGACTGTTAAGAATCATCTTTCATGAAAGTACCAAAATTACGAGTTCACGAAATAATCCAAAGTCATAACCTTCTACTTTAAAAATATTTAAGGAAAGCCAAAATTACATCCAGTAATCTATGTATTTGATTCTTTCTGGGCTACTTGGGTACCATCCATTCGCTAAGGCTGGGCACTTACCTGAGGCTCTGGCTTTTGAAGGACTGAGTCTGGTGGAGTGAAGTGATCTAGTTCGTACTGATAAGGATGTGCAAACCTGAATCAATAAAACGAAAAGAAAAATCTTTTTGATTAATTCCGTGATTCAAGGAAGAACAACTGCTTTAATCCAATTCATAAAAACAAACAAGAAAAGACCATTGTGAAAATATTTTTAAAAGCATCATTGTTTCAATGACGATTCAAGTGCATCAAACAAAAAATTGGGTGAAACTTGTTCACCCTTAAAGTATAGTGATAATTCAACACTGATGCATTTATAAAGATTTGAGCACTAATTTGCCAAACACTGTATGGCTGCTGTTGTGGATGATACAGAAAGGTGAAATATGTAATTCCTTGTGGTTTGGAATAACGAATCTGTGAGGTGAGAGAGAGTCAATACCTCAGTTGGTCATATACCAAATGATGTATTTTTTTCAGTTCCTCTATCAGATACTTGCATAAAAATCCTAAGTCTCTGAGTTCCTTGAGGGCAGGGCTGCCTTTCATTACCTTTATTTCTCTAGCACTCAGCTAGTGGCCTCACAGTGCAGAGCTGGGGCTGAGGCACAAACGCTCAGACACTCCGGCTGCGTGTGAGAAAAAGACCAACACTGACGAAGTTTTCATCACCATTTTTCTTTGAACTGAAATCAAAGTCCTCTTGTCTGTTTTAAGCAAAGTTTTCCCAAGATGCTTATCCTGCCAGTGAGAAATGTCTTTTCTGTACTGAATTTATTGGTGAGCATTACCTTCTTGTTTGCGTCCACACCTAATAAGAAAGGCAGAGTGGTACAAAGGAAGGACAATTTTAAGAAAACTTGGGCTTAAAGTTCTAGTTCTGTGGGAAGTTAGCATCCCTAATTTTGTTTTCTCATCTGTCCAATGGGGACGAGAGCAACTGGCAGCTCTCAGGACTGCGTGAGGGCTACGTGAGACGGTGCTTGTGCGAGGCCCTCTGCGAACACAAGCAGGAGGCTTAATCGATAAGATGCACGTCAGGATAAGGTGAAGAAAGTCACCCACTCCTCAGATTCTGTTCTCATTCGCACATGTTACAAAAGCGACACAGAGTGAAAACGCGGCACGAGGATGAGGGCCACGGCAGGACGTTCAGACAGGCAAACACTTACATGTCCTGCTCCACCTGCTGGGTTCTCTGCTGGTGGATGAAATCCGCCAGGGCAGGGGGGACATCCAAGTCCTCAGGTCGGTCCTGTGGGCGCTCCCTCCTTTCTTTAGAGAGTGCTGGAGACCCAAGCAGCGACAAAGACACATTCACATCCTGTCTAGTTATGGAGGATTAACTGGCTCCCTCTGAATTTGAAGAAAGGAAGGTGGGAGGGATACCTTTTCCCCTTGATTTGATTTTGTTGGACAGAGTTGGCACTACTTACCCTGAGGGAGGGGTTTCTGAGCATTGGGCTTGATGAAGATTTTAGGAAGAAATGGCGTGTTGGAATTGTCAATCTTCTCTCGGAATTTAAGCTGAGGTCGGATGATGTTTTTTGCGTGAAGCAGCCGGAATGTTTCACATTTTGTTTTTTTGCTATATTCTCCTGCCTATGATCAACAAATATAAATACTTTATAACACGGCAACTTGATGAATTAGAAAACTAAATTCCAATTTATGCCTTCCAAAGACCACTCATTTAAGAATGTATGTGTGTGTGAGACTGGGGGGTTAGACAAGACGGTGTAATTACGTTGTGTCTATTTATGAGAACAACTTAGGCAGTGGCCAGTTCTGTGTCCAATAAGTTAAAACAGAAATGCAAATCAGAATGGGCAAGGGCCCTACTGCAAAGCTGACACTGAAAGCTCTAGTTCACCTGAAAAGCAGCCCTCACCTTCCGGTTCCAGCTGGACACTATGGTTTTAGGGACCTGCAATCCTGCAGGGAGGACAGGCTGTTGATTCTTATTCACACCGGATGCTTCATCCAGTAAAATGCCCTAAGAGTAAAAGAGATATTAATTTAGTATCTTCCTTTCAGGGTTAACAGAGCTAATGACCTAAAATTTTTACGAAATACATTCAGAGAATTATGTGCGAGAGTACACACTTATAAGGGTGGATCACTGTAGAAGAGGTGATTAGAGAGTCATCAATCACAGATAAATGAAGCACTATTTGCTCAACGACAGGGCTGTAATCAAGCACTCCCTACCCTTGATAAGTCTCTTTACAGTTCTGAATTGGGCTGAAAATTCAAAAGTGATTCAACAGTATGATGTGGCCCACTAAAATAATTAAAAAGACCCTAGACTGTATTAAACACAGAGGTACGGTATTTAGAGTGAGAATGAAGCATGTCCTGATCTACTTTATAAAGATGTGGAATCTCAGTTTGGGCACCATTAACAGAGGTGCACCCAGCTGATAAATGCCAGGACTTGAAATCATAAAGTATGAGAAACCACTGAAAGACCTGTGGGCATTCAGACCATGGAAGAGATGACTTCAAGGGACAGGAGAGCATGATTTAAATACCTGCAGGACTGTCACATGGCTGAGAGTTAGATGTGTTTTGGACAATCTGTGTGTATTTCTGTAAAGAATGTTATGCTGTAGTATTAGGTGTAAGTAGACAGTCAGCTAGATCAAATGATTCACATCTCCCTCCAATTATGCAAGTCAGGGTGTTTAGCAGACTGTGGATAATAGTAAAAATAGACTGAATTTTGGTTGGGATCTGTATCCAGAGGCCTCTTCTCTTGCAAATGGGATTCGAAAATCTGGAAGGTAGATTACTAATATGGCACTTTAAAAATAGCCTTCCCCCCGGGGCAGTGATACTCTGAAGTGATATATCTGAAGACAACTGTGTTATTTTTTGGAAAAAGAAGCCAACTAGCAGAGGGAGGGAATGTCATTACAGGCCAGAAATGCTAAACTTCCTTTCTTTTCATTTCCTAAGGTGCTTGGGTTTCTTTTCATATTTAATAATACGAAAGCTCTTCTTGTTAGTGACCTTAAGAGTAATGTGAAATACTCACCACTCTTTC